CGGTGCTGCCGTCCTTCTCCTGATGCCTCCACTTGCTTCGTTTTGGGTAAAGATGAGCTGGGTTTCTCACACCAGGTGTCTCGCTCGCTGAGGCAATCTCTGGTCAAAAGTGTAGGAATTGATTTGTAGTTAAACCTCCCACCGGTCCACTGGACCATCTTCCCCCTTGCTGGCTGCTCCCAATCCCACTTTTCTAACGTATTCATTTGGGAGTCTCCAGTTCCCGGGCCCACCCACTCCTCTCCAAATCCACTATTTCTTACTTGATTCTTTAGTCTTCTCCTCCAAGGAATCACAACTACAATAAAAACATGCCTGTGGTGAGCCAGGCGCTGTTCTAAGGGCTTTTCACGACTAAACCTCACAACCCAATAAGGAAGGCGCTGTGTTAGCCTAGTAACCCTCCTCCTTCCCTCAATTCGGGATTCTTACCTCCAGCCCTCAAGACCCTATGGAGGATTCCAGACCTATGGGTTAATCCATGGGTCTGAGGGCTCTGGGCTCTTAAATGAGCACCTAGTGCCTCTGCCTCCCAGAGTCCTTCCAGGGGCATCAGTCCAGAAGAAGGAGGCGCTCTGGGCAGGTAGTCAAAGCTCCAATCCTGGAGGCTCTGCCACCCTTCTGCTGGTGACCAGAGCTAGTTGTCCCCTCTTGCTGATTAGCTGCCCTCCTGACATGTGGGGGTGAAGGGTCAGTTGGCGTCTGTGGTGCCCTCCAGCTCTAAGATGCTAGTTTCAGGACAAATGGTGACTGCCTGATCTGGGTGTCCCAAATGCACCCAGAGGGCCAGCAGCATCAGGGACCTTCTGCTCAGGACCTCGTCCTGACCACCTCGTTGCATCCCTTTAGGCCCATTCTCCTCCCTCTCCTAAATAGTCCACGAGGTTTTCCCATGGCCGGCTTGCCTGCCTAAGAAAGCCTTTTGCCTGGGGACTATTCCAACAGGGATCCTCAGGCAAGTCCAGAAAAGCCCACTCCATCTTTGAAAACAAGCTCTTGGTGATGCAGTCCCAGGTGCCTTGTCCCCCATCAGCCATGCCCGCCCTGCTGTCAGCATTCACTGTGTTCTTTGTCCTCCTACCGTCACCATCAAGCAGCTTGTTGAGCCGGTTCTCTGGACTCTGGCCCTCCTCGGTCTCCACAGCCCGGGAGTGGGGAACTCAAGAGAAGACAAGCATAGAAATTGTTCTCACACCACATAGAATGTGACCTGGGACTCAGAGGGAGAGAAATCACTTCTCATTGGGGATCCCAAGAAAGATTTGGGATCCACTTCCACTTGAGGTGGATCTTGATGTTGGGAAGTGTTCTGAGAGGAAGAGGGGCTCAAGTGAGGGGGAAATGCTTCCACAAATGCAAGAAAGTGTTCCTAGACCTCCGGGGCTCACCAGCAGCTGGAACTGGACGTGGGTAGCAGCAAGATAGCCGATGAGCCTGGGACAATGAGTTGTGACTCACTGTTACAGAGTCACGTGTTGTAGAGTCAGACTTCTGGGCTTGGAATGTGTGCTCAGGCCCGCAGGCAGAGTGGAAGATGTTTTAGCAGTAGTGCTATCCTTCCACATCCTTCTGGGGCAACCTCTTACTCCACAGGCGCCATCACCCTGCTTCTTGGGACCTCCTTGCTATTTTCTCCATGGCCATAGGAAGACTCCTCACTTCTCCCAAAGTCTGACCCTCTGTGTTCCCTTCATCACTCTCCCGGGGTACAGGGATTTGTTTTCTGTGCTCTTTTCGGCTTTTTGATGTGAAATGGAATGTTTCTTTCATTGCTACCAGGAAATGCTACCCGTATGTGTCTGTTTGCAGTCGCTGTTTAGTTGCTAAGTCATGTCTGACTCTTTGCAACTGTAGCCCGCCAGGCTCCTCTGTCCATGGGATTCTCCAGGCAAGAATACTGGAGTGGGTTGCCATTTCCTTCTCCAGGGGAACTTCTCGGCCCAGGGAGCAAACCCAGATCTCCTGATTGGCAGGCAGATTCTTTACCACTGAGCGACGCAGGAAGCCCACCCATATGTGTCTACCCATCTCTAATTCACTTAAACCAGTGGTTCTCAACCAGGGGCAATTTTTCATGCCCAGTCTCTCTCTCTCTCCCTGTCCCCCCACCCCTCTCTCTCTCACACACACACCACATCCCGGGGACATTTAGCAATGTTGGTAGACATTTTGGGTTGTCACCACTTGGGCAGAAGGATGGTGGCTACTGTTATCTCATGGGCAGAAGCCACAGATGTTGCTAAACCACTTCCAGTGAAGGACAGCCTCCCAACAAAGAATTTCCTCACCCAAAATGTCAATAGGGCTGAGATTTAGAAACGATGGTATAAACCAAGTTGAGGCCCTCAGCCAAAAGCCCATCAGTGCCTGAAAATCAAATTTTGCAGAGATAAATGCCTTAGAAGTTCCTGACTTGACTGCTAAATCGGGATAGGGTTCCTGACTCAGGTCTCCAGTCTCTCTGATTCTAAATTGAATCCCCTGCTGAGAGATCCATTGCTCTTGACTTCAGGGGATTACCACCTTCTTGCAGACTCACCTGTTCTGTGCACCTCCTCACACCTAGGGTCAACCAAATTCAGCCCAGCTTTATTGATCTGAGCTTCCTTTCATTTCTAATCATTCGTGCCTTTGTTTTCATTAATCCTATCAAGGAATTTTAAAATTCATTAATTTTAAGCCTTGTATAATTATCTGACTCCCTAAGAGAAAGAGCCTTGAATGGGACCTACTGATGCCTCCAACCGGCTGTGTGACCTTGGGAAGGTAATTTAACGTCTCTGAACTCAGTTTCTCTTTTGCAAAAAGAGAATCATTAAGGTGTTTTCAGGCTCTAGAATCCTTAAAATATTTCCTGTCATTTTATATTTCATGTCAAGTCTGACCTTACATGGGGGTTCTCCCTAAACCGTAAAAGGTCTACCCTAAATCGTATCCTGGGGCAAGATTATCAGCCTCCAGACGCTCGAGGTTAACAGTTGAAAACTCACTCACCTAGTGATGCATTAATGGCAGAGTCTCCTACTGTGAACATGTTCTGTGTTGCAATCCAAGTGTGAAGTTTAAGGTTGTCTTTTTAAAATCCTGTTTCCTCTTCTGTCCTAAAATGAAGATCACATTGTTAACTTCAAGAGTCATAGTCTCCTAATTGGCACAAGTTGGGAGTCTGAGAGATGGTCTGCTGTTGTCAGACTGTGTGAATCACAACAAACTCTGGAAAATTCTTAAAGAGATGAGACTACCTGACCACCTTACCTGCCTCTGAGAAACCTGTATGCAGATCAAAAAGCAACAGTGAGAACTGGACATGGAACAATGCACTGGTTCAAACTCAGGAAAGAAATATGTCAAGGCTGTATATTATCACTCTGCTTACTTAACTTCTATGCAGAATATCTCATGTGAAGTGCTGGGCTGGATGAATCACAAGTTGGAATCAAGATTGCTGGGAGAAATATCAACAAGCACAGTTATGCAGATACCACTCTAATGGCAGAAAGTGAAAAAGAACTAAAGAGCCTCTTGATGAGGTTGAAAGAAGAGAATGAAAATGTTGGCTTAAAACTCAACATTCAGAAGTCTAAGATCATAGCATCCAGTCCCATCACTTCATGACAGATAGGGGAAAAGTGGAAACAGTGACAGATTTTATCTTCTTGGGCTCCAAAATCACTGTGGATGGTGACTGCAGCCATGAAATTAAAAGACGCTAGCTCCTTGGATGGAAAGCTATGACAAACCTAGACAGCATATTAAAAAGCAGAGACATCACTTTGCTGACAAACTTCTGTAGAGTCAAAGCTATGGTTTTTCCAGTAGTCATGTAGAGGTGTGAGAGTTGGACCATGAAGAAGGCTGAGTAGTGAAGAATTGATGCCTTTGAACTGTGCTGTTGGAGAAGACTCTTGAGAGTCCCTTGGACAGTAAGGAGATCAAACCAGTTAATCCTAAAGGAAATCAACCCCAAACATTCATTGGAAGGACTTTTGCTAAAGCTGAAGCTCCAATACTTTGGCCACCTGATGTGAAGAGCCGACTCATTGGAAAACACCCTGATGCTGGGAAAGACTGAGGGCAAGAGGAAAAGGGGATGACAGAGGATGCGATGGTTGGATGGCATCACTGACTCAATGGACATAAGTTTGAACAAACTCCAGGAGATGGTGAGGGACAGGGAAGCTTGGCGTGCTACTGTCCATGGGGTCACAAAGAGTCAGACACAACTTAGCGACTGAACAACAGCAACTACTGTTGTCAGTGTAATGAGTTTCAGGAAAGTTTATTTTTCCAAACAGCTGTTATGTTTTTGTGGAAATTCTTTTCCCCATTGCAATGTTTCTTATCAAAGTTGGGGAACCCCTCCCCAAGTCCTTTCCCACAGTGAGAAGAGCCGACTTTGGGAGAAGGGGGAAGCCACTCCAAACGGGATAATCTGGTGTGGGGAAGCAGACAGCGAGACAGTAAAAGGCTGTAGATCTTCCATGGGCCCTCAAATCTTTAGTTACCAAAATTCACGAAATGCATGGTGAAGTGGTTGGTTTGTTTGGACAGGGTGGGGGGTACATGAAAACCAGTGATAGAGCAAGCGTCTCAGCCAGGGTGTCTTGGAGAGGAATAGTGTAGAGAGACCCAAGGACACACCAGCAGGCAGGTCCCCAAAGGAGGGTCTCAGTTTGCAGAATCGCAGGGTTCAAGTTGCCACAGGCTCCATGGCCAGGCTTAACCAGGTGCACAGGTCTGCGGACACCTCCAGGAGCCAAGGAGGACGGAGGGCAGCAGGCGGGTGTCGGCAGAGAAGACTGTCCTCAGAGCCCCTGCCATGGGAGCCACCCTGGCTTTTGTGACCTCACAGGAGGTGGGTGGGTGACTCTGCTTCAGGGCCTGGGCCCAGACGGACGCCAGAGCCTTCCCCCAGGGCAGGGGCACACGGCCCCTCGGCGAGGGAGCCGGGACATTAGGCAGCTCCATGTAGGTACACGCTTAGGTCAGGAGGATCCACCATGAAGAAGGGCAAGAGGAAGAAGTCAGAAACCAGGCGCCGGGGCTCCACCTCCCAGCGCGCCAGCTCCGAATCCACCCCCCAGCAGCAGAGCTCAGACTCCAGTTCCCAGCAGCCCGTCTCCGGATCCAGCCCGCGGCCACCCAGCCCCAAGCCCACCGCGCAGCTGCCCAACCCAGGGTCGGCCACCCAGACACCCAACCCAGCGCCCGCCCCACAGTCCCCCAGCCCGGGGCCCACCACGCAGCAGCCCAGCTCGGGGAGCACCTCACAGCCCAGCAGCAACTCCACCCCCCCGCAGTCTGCACCCCGAGCCCTCCCAGCTCCAGAAGTCAGCCACAGCCACTCGGCTCGGGACATCGTGTCTCCAGACCCCAACCCCAAAGCATCCTCTCGGTCCAGGAAAGCAGGTGGGCGGCCTTCTTGCTCAAGTGGTTCTAGGCTTTCTGCTAATGGATCCCAGGGCTGCCCCAGAAGCTGATAACTCTTCTGATTGGGTTGTGATGTACGGATAATATGTTCTGGAGCTGTGCAGTGGGGAGTGTGTGGGTGAGGGTGAGGATGAAGGGTTTGGGGTTCATTTTTTTACCCGAGACCAGGATTCCTGGGTTTTGTCACTCCTCACCATGCTGAGTCTCTCTAAAGACAGCCTCAGGGTATTCAGACAGATTAACACTGGTCATGGCTCGGTGGTAGTACTAGCTCCTTGGGAGCCATACATACCCAAATAAACACCACGGCTGCATTAATACAAGAATCCAGTGAAGGACAAGGGAGGCGGTCGTGCTGCTTTACTCTGTCTTCATCGGGCTGTTTGTGTGCGTAAATGATGCCTAACAATCTAGTCCAAGGAAGACAGTCCACGTTGGGGAGCTGAGCAGGATCTGGGGAAGCAAGAGCCTTCCGGTGTAGGAGAATTGTTTGAGGGAGCTGAAGGCTATCTGTCTGTCAGCTGGAAGATTTGAGTAGATTTGTTCTATGTTGTTCTCAGATGTCCGACTAAGGGCCCATGGATAGGGTTGCCAGATAAAATATAGGCCACCCTGTCAAATTTCAGATAAATAATATGTGTGTCCTGAATATTGCATAGGCATCCTATATTTTTATTTGCTAAATCTGGCAACTCATCCATGGAAGGCACTGTAGAAGGTAGATTTCTGTTCAACTTTAAAAAGTATCCAACGATTAGCTCTGTCTGAAAATAGAATGGCGGTCCAGGGAAAGTGGTCCCCCATCTTCTTGGGTAGCCAGAGTCTGAATGAGCATGGGATTGTGTTGAGAGAACTCGAACAGAGTTCAGGAGGCGATCTGGTTAATACCACGCTACTAATAATGGTAATAGCTAACATTTATCACTGAGCACTTACTGTGTACCTGACATTGTACTCAGCCAAGTGATCTTATTTCACAGTCTTATAAAGGAGATACTAGTATCATCTCCATTTTATGGATGGGGAAACTGAGGCTCAAGCAAGTGTAACAACTGCCTCTCATGCAGGTGCTGGTAGCACTAAGAGGGGAACTTCAGTCTATTCTGACTTTAGAATCCTCCCTCAACTGCAGCAATGATCTTCCAACCCTCAAAGGTCTGGTAGTCTGCCCAGGAGGAAGAACATCCTTTCTGAGGTTCTGTATCCACCTTGAGTCAGTGCCTGTGACTCTGTGTTCCTGAGCCCACCACACTTCCAGGGCCGCAGCTTTCCCTCTCAGATGGTGTGGACATAAAATAAATGAGAGGAGTAAGGGTGAGTCCTAAATCCAAGTATGGCTGTGACGACGATATTTCTGTGGCTAGGAATCAATCCATTAACATAAGGAAATGTTTTGAGTATGATACTAAATATTGTATATGTTATGATCAGAGACATTACTTTGCCAACAAAGGTCTGTCTAGTCAAAGCTCTGCTTTTTCCAGTAGTCATATATGGATGTGAGAGTTGGACTATAAAGAAAGCTGAGCGCAGAAGAATTGATGTTTTTGAACTGTGGTGTTGGAGAAGGCTCTTGAGAGAGTCCCTTGGACTGCAAGGAGATCCAACCAGTCCATCCTAAAGGAGATCAGTCCTGAATATTCATTGGAAGGACTGATGCTGAAGCTGAAACTCCAGTACTTTGGCCACCTAATGCAAAGAACTGACTCCCTGGAAATGACCCTGACGCTGGGAAAGATTGAAGGCGGGAGGAGAAGGGGACAACAGAGGATGAGATGGTTGGATGGCATCATCAATTCAATGGACATGAGTTTGAGTAAACTCCGGGAGATGGTGTTGGACAGGGAAGCCTGGTGTGCTGCAGTCCAAGGGGTCACAAAGAGTCGGACATGACTGAGCGACTGAACTGAACTGATAATCGTCAACCACTGAGATAAACCTTTCTGGATTACGGCCTTGAGAACTGATCTGTAGAACATGAGACTTTCTATTTGCACATCTTTCATGAATGCGTGTGGCTCACCCCCACGCTGGTATTCTGTTTGTGACAGAGGCAAAGTGGGAACTGGTGAGGCTCATCCGTGGTTACAGTGGACGCCAACTCTTCTTCTGCCAAAGGAAGAATTGTTTCCCTTGGAGCCAGAGTGGGAAGGAAGGTTGGTGATAAGGGATGAGGACTTTTAAATAAAGGATGCCATATTCTAAAATACAAATCTTTTCATATGCAGAGAATACTGTAGCTCAAGAAAATTCAAGTCTTCCACAAAAATGTCTGTAATCAAGAAGACGGACAATTTCAAGCCTCAGTGAGGCTGTGGGGAAGTCAAAACCTTCTCACACTGCCGGTGGGAACGTAAAATGGCAAAACTGCCATGGAAAACTGTCTGGAAAACTGCCGTGGAAAACTGTTTAACCCTTGAAGGGTTAAACATGAAGTCGCCATCTGATCCAGCAATTCCTGATCTGAGTATATACCTAAGAGAATTAAAGACATACATCCACACCAGAACTAAAACAGCAGCATTATTCATCATAGCTGAAAAGTGGAAACAACTCAATGACCATCAAATGATGAATGGATAAACAACACATGGTACATCCATGCAATGAAATACTAGTTGGCAATAAGAAGAGATGATAGGGACTCCCCTGGTGGTCCAACTGTTAAGAATCGAAATTCCAATGCAGAGGACACAAGTTCCATCCCTGGTCAGGGAAACTAAGATCCCACATGTCTTGGGGCAGCTAAGCCCAGGTGCCACAATTACTGAACCTGCATGCTCTGGAGCCCACACACAACTACAGAAGCCCTCCCACCACAACCAAGACCCAGTGCAGTCAAAATCAAAGACGTGACAGATGCTGATACATGCTGCAACACAGATGAACCTCAGACACATTAGTCTAAGTGAGAGAAGACAGTCTTGAAAAAGCCCATGTATTGTACGATTCCATTTATGAAATGTCCACAGTAGACAAATCTATTGCCCAGAACTGCAGGGAGTAGAGAATAGGCAGGGCTGCTAATGGGCTTGGGGGAAGATGGAAAAGTTTAGAATTAGTGATGGTGGTTGCATACATTCATGAATAAATTGAAAGCCACTGAATGCTTCAAAGGGGTAAACTTTATGGAATGGAAATTGTATGTCTGGTTTGTTTGTTTTTTCCCAATTTTTTAAAAGGAAAAAAAGATAAGTCTTATCTTTAGAATCCTGTCCCTCCCCTTTCCAGGAAAAGTTTCTGTCTGGGGCAAGTCTAAGCAGAATGGGTGTTGATCACTAGCTTCTTGGGCTTTAAGGTTGGCAGCTCAGTCAAGAAGCCAAGACAAGGAATTCCCTGGTGATCCAGTGGCTAAGATTCTGAGCTCCCAATGTAGGAGGCCTAGGTTCGATCCTTGACCAGGGAACTAGATTCCACATGCCTCAACTAAGAGTTCGCATGCCACAACTAAAGATCTCACATGCCACAACAATGATCAAAGATCCTGCATGCTGCAACTAAGACCCAGTGCAGCCAAATATATATTTTAAAAAATATAAAAAAGGAAGGGGGAGCCAAGGCAGAAGTAGTTACAGGAGGGAATGATCTAGCCAGAAGTCCTCTTGCAAAACAGCAGAGGGCGCTGTCTCCAAGTTCCTCTGGGATCCGCAAGGGGAGATGAGCATAGGAAAGGATCTCAAAGATGGTCCACTGGAGTAGTTGTCTTCTGGATGAATCTGTGAGCTCCAGATAAATGGAACATGGCCACTCCGGTCGCAGGAATGTCAATGCCACCTCTCCTAGGATGGGCAGTCCTTTGCTTCCATCCCTTCCCTCAAATTCCGTGGAAAGAGCCCCAAATTGCGAGTTAGTAATCCTGAGCTGAAGCCCAGTTCTTCCATCTCCTTACTATCAGAGCACATCTTCGATATTCTTTGAGCCTCAGTCTCCTTATTTGTAAGCTGAGGATAACAATATTCTCCATCCCAGGATTGCTGACAATGAGATGTGATGGATAATGCCATACAGAGCACTGTCCACGTGTGAGCTATTACAGGGGTGTTCTCGGTGTTATTCCCAGGTAGCGTGCATTATTTCCCCAAGCAGTCGTTCCTCTCTCCTCTACACAGGCCACTGCTCCTCCCGTGGACACCTCCTGCAGCAGTGGGCCCCTCACCTCTCTCCTTCTCTATCCAGCAGGGCCTCTGGTTCGAGTGGGCCCGCGGGCATTCTGTTCCTGTTCCGTTTGCCCCGGCAGCTCTGCTTGCTGGCGTCGTCTGGGCCTCTGCCACAGCCGCATCTTCGATGTCCTTCTGCCTCGGGCCTGGCCGACCATGCCAGGGAGAGGATTCCCAAACCTCCTCACCTTTTACAGGTTCTGCAGTCCGTAGGGGGGGGTTCTGGACCTTGGGCCACCTCATATTTGCAGTCCTGTGGACAGAGGAGCCTGGCAGGCTGTGGTCCCCAGGGTCGCAAAGAGTCAGAAACAACCAAAGCAACTCAGCATGCACATGCATGCACTCAGCCTCCTCAGGGGACTCCAGGACCCCAAGGAAAGCTGCTTCCTCCGGTGGGGCTTCTGGCCTTTTCTGCTCGGACCGACTTACACAGAGAGGTGCCGATTTTCTCCTTTGGGGGTTCATTTTTCTTTGCTTCAGAGCACACTCTCCCACAGCCCCTCCATCACAAGCTCCCTGTCACTCAGAAGCTTGGTGAGTAAATGCTCTATCAGGCCACCGCCTCTTTCCGTGGCCTGTGCCACAGCCGAAAGCTTCCCATTCTTGACCGGCATGTGAACGTCGCCCAGAATTTAGAGATACGTGTGACTGTAAGTCACGTACCCCTTGGTGAGAGGAAGTGCTCCCCCTCCTTCAGCAGGTCTCAGGCTATTCCTGGCAGCCTCACAGGGGTCTGTCCCTGACCCAGTGGCCCCCGCAGCCTCACCATTCTCTTCCTCTCCCACGAAGCCCCCGGGCGGCTGCCACTCCCCTGGTGGGAAGACACCTGTCCAGGGAACTTCTCCAGTGGCTTTGGCAGTGGCGCAGGGCTACGTCCAAGGGCTGGAGCAGGACCTCTGCCTCCCCCCAGCTCTGGGACCCAGGGCAGCCCCACTTATACTCAGATCTCACACATGTCCACAGGAAATGTCTTCCACCTGGGCATCACCCCCCCTAAAGCAGAGCCCACCCACCCCCATCTCCATTCTACTCCTCTTCCCGCCCCTCCCTGGCCAACTCCCCTCTGTTGTATACATTCTTGAAAATCAGCATCTCTCAGCCTTGTGAAGCGAGGCAAACAGATACCCAGGTGTGTTGGAAGAACATGCCAGCGCTAAAATGCTCTGCTACCTGGTAAGTCCTGGCTAGGAAGGGCCTGCCCCCCCCCCAATGCCATGATCAGCTGTCTTTCCACTCAGAACATTCATCCATCTGGTGCCAAGGAGCACCATGGATTCGCAAAGCACCAAGTAGGAAGCCTCCTCTGCACAGGATGCTAGGCACGGGGAGGAAAACCTGAACCGGGAACTTCACCCTTACAAACTGTGCCATCCACAGGGCATCTGATTCGTGCTCCTTCCGTGGCCACCAGACCAAGGGGAAAGGCCCACCTCCCCTCCCCGCAAGGCCAGGGCCCTGACTGCCCACTTCCTTTGCCCCAGGGACCGGTGGTTCACTCATCTCTCTGTTTATGAAATTGCCCTCGGCCTCAGCGGGTCATGGGCTTCCCCGATAGCTAAGCTGGTAAAGCATTTGCCTGCAATGCGGAAGACCTGGGTTCAACCCCTGGGTTGGAAAGATCCCCTGGAAAAGGGAACGGCTACCCACTCCAGTATTCTGGCCTGGAGAACTCCATGAACTGTACAGCCCATGGGGTCGCGAAGAGTCGCACAAGACTGAGAGACTTTCACTTTCACTTTCTACATGGTAAGCTAAGACATGCATCTAGAAACTCCGATGCAAACCAGGAAGTGATCTGTGTCCCAAAAGAGATGTTCAAAGAGCTTTGCTTCTGAGCTGGGGTCCAGGTGGATGCTGTAGTATCAGTCATATCTGAGCTGAATCTAGAAGGGCTTTAGGATCCTTGAGCACACGCATACACACGCGTGTACACACACACACACACACACACACACACACGGCCTATTTTAAAGGGGAAGGATCCCGGGTGGAGGAAAAGGCACAAGCGAGGCTCAGAAATAGGAACGTGAAGGGGAGGGGCCGAGGTTTAGTCTGGCTGGTGTCAGGCGTGCACCTAATTCTGCTCAAGTTCACACCTGCTTCTGTAACCTTTCCATTTCTATGCAGAGTGGAGTGTTGGCTCCGGCTTTAAATACATTAAATGAAATTAAAATTTTAATTATTTTAAAATTATTTTAAATTAAAAAATTTTAAGTGCTTAAATATTAAGTAAGAATCTCTAATAGGGTTTTTGTCCAAATGGCTACTGCTTTTTCTGAGTGCCTTCCATGTCTGCCTGCAGTGCTGAAGACCTGGGTTCGATCCCTGGGTTGGGAAGATCCCCTGGAGAAGGAAATGGCAGCCCACTCCAGTGCTCTTGCCTGGAGAATCCCATGGGCGGAGGAGCCTGGTGGGCTACAGTCCATGGGGTCGCAAAGAGTCAGACACGACTGAGGGACTTCATTTTCACTTTCCTCATACTTACTAGCAGCATCATACACTTTCCTTTCCCACCTGCTTTGTGGGAGTGTAATATGTGGCTTCCTCAGTTGCCTAATCTCCAGAACAGAGCTACGCGGCAGGACTCCCCCACAGGGGGATTGTGAGGCTTGAGGAGGACACTGGGTGGGAGGGAGGTGTTTGGCACAGGGCCTGGCACACGGCGGCCTTAAACACCTTGTCATCTTCTCTCTGAGTGTCGAGGGGAGCTGGCATCCCGGCCAGCCCATCCCCGGCTCCTGGAGGGAGTCTTGTGGAGTGTTATTGAAAGAGGTGAAAGGAGCTGTGTTCCCTTGAGAGGAGGACCTTTAGCGCGGAGATGGGTCTTCCTGTGATCCTCAGGGGCCCCATGGCTTCCACTTTCCCCTGCCTAGGGATGAGCACTAAAGCCCAGCAGCCCCCAACCCATGGGTTCTCTGCTTTGCTCTGCAGAAGACCTTCAAGAAAACATTCCACTCATCGTAATTCACGTGCTCCGAGCCCTCGGAACTGTTGCTGTGGCTCTGGGAGCCCTAGGAGCTGCCTACTACATCCTTGAATCTTTGTGAACAAGTCCCCAGGCCCGCAGTCCGGCAGGTATGTGGACACCTTTCATGCCCGTGGCCCCTTGCAGAGTGATCCTCAAGCCCATCGACTCACCAGCCCTGTAGTATGGGAAGCGTCTGTCCCTTCTCTGAAAGGAGGAGGTCTTTATGGGGCACCAAGGCCCCCAGCCTTTCAGGGAAAACTTGAGAGGGACAGACTCATTTCTGGCCTCAGGGCCTACTGGCATGGCTCTCTGGGGCAGCCCTGGACACTCATGGACAATGTTAGACCCGTTGTTGGGATCTTCAAAACAGAGATCTCGCTGTTCCCTGCTGACCTGGGGTGGTTCATCTCATCACAAACACCAGCTAGGAGACAGGAGAGGTGAGCCAGAGGGTCCTACACCTCTTGGAGCTTTTCCTCCGAACTGTCTCCCTGCGGTTCCCACTGTTTCCAACCCTTGTTGTCCTCTGTGAACTTCGTGTTGCACAGAAACCTTCTCCCATCTTTTAAATCACTGTTCTCTCCAGCCTATTCCATCCTGTACTGTGGATGATTTTTATGTACATAGGTGGACTGTCTCCACATTCTACTACAAGATCCCTGAGGGCAGGGAGCCTGCCTTATGCAACATCTTGGATCCTCCCCTGTCTCAGGCTGGGCTCCCTAGTAGCAGAGCCTGAGACAAGGATTTGGGTGCACAGGATTTAGTGAGGGACAAAGAGGGAGGGAGGCCCGAGAGGGAGGGGACGGAGCAAAGCAAGAATGAGGTCTCAGCTGAAGTCCACTTAGCCTGGTCCTGGCAGGTCTGGAGGCTGAATGATACCCAGAGGGGGTCTAGCCTTGAGGCAAGAGGGTTGGCCTTTCTTGCTCTTCTGTGAGTCAGTCGTTAGCTACCAGAAGAGGTTGGGAGTGCGTGTCTTTGTGAAAAAATAGTTCCTGTTTGGGTGAGGACAAGTTCCTGGGGAAGGAGGCAGCCCTGGGCCGTCAGCAGACAGAGTTCATAATTCACAAAGCTGGGCAATGGATGTGCAAGGCCACAAAGAGGATCTCAGCTGGCGCTGAGAGTACCTTGAATTATCAGTTCAGTTGCTCAGTCGTGTCCGACTCTTTGCGACCCCATGGACTGCAGCACGCCAGGCCTCCCTGTCCATCACCAGCTCCCTGAGCTTGCTCAAACCCATGTCCATTGAGTCGGTGATGCCATCCAACCATCTCATCCTCTGTCGTCCCCTTCTCCTCCTGCCTATAATTATCCCCTTTGTCAAATCCATGTGCCATGAAAGCTTAATAAGTGATGAAGGGGAGGAGAAGGGGAGGCGGTAATAGGAGCTTTTTTTTTCTTTTTTTAAAAAACTTTTTATTTTGTATTGGAGTATAATTGATTAACAATAGTTACTTTCAGGTGGTTAGTTTCAGGTGAACAGCAAAGGGACTCAGCCATACATATACATGTATCCATTCACCCCCAGACTCCCCTCCCAGCCAGGCTGCCACATAACACTGAGCAAAGGTCCCTGTGCTATCCAGCAGGTCCTCACTGGTTATCCATTTTAAATGTAGCCTGTGTACATGTCCATCCCAAATTCCCTAACTATCCCTTCCCACATCCTTCCTCACTGGCAACCAGTCCCAGACCTCTAGCAGCCACAGCAGGGCGTGTGGTGGGAATAGATGCTCACAAGCCCAACCCAGAAAATAAACTCCAGGGAGAGCTCACCATCTCCTCAAAGGCTCTGCTGCCTGATCATGGGGCCATTCATAAAAGAGCAGAGAAGCACCTTAAGCTTCGCAAAATTCCACAACATCTGAGATCCCTGGTTTCCTCATCTGTAAACAGGAAACATCATAGAATCTTCCTCTTGAGATGATTGGGAGCATGAGATGGGGTACTTGGAGGGCAGAGAGCTGGCCAGGGGTCTTATTATTGTTATCATCTTGGATGGGAGGATGCTGGCTTTGGAGTTAGAGCCGACGGTTCTAATCTGGCCTCAGGTTCTAATCTGGCCCAGGTCACTGGGTGTTCAGGCCCATATTACTTAACTTCTGTGAGAGTCGGTATCATCTCTAAAGTGGGGAGAATAACAGCACGTTCAAGGGCAGTGGTTGTGAGGATCAACTAAGGAAGTACAGCCCGCGGGGGCTGGTCAGTGGCTGGGTAGATGGTGTGCTGTGCTGAGTTATTTCAGCCGTGTCTGACTCTTTGCGACCCTATGGACCATAGCCTGCCAGGCTTCCGTGCCCATGGGATTCTACAGGCAAGAATACTGGAGTGGGTTGCCATGCGCTCCTCCAGGGGATCTTCCCAACCCAAGAACTGAACCAGCATCTGTTATATCTCCTGCACTGGCAGGTTGGTTCCTTATCACTAGCGCCACTTGGGAAGCCCTGGGTAAGATGATAGTGACTGGCGTTTGAAAATGGTGCCTGAGCTAAAGCATTTCATCTTAGAATCTCCTTCCAGCAGCACCCATGGGTGTGAGCTTCGGCAGGAAACCTTGGGATTGGATCCCCATTCTACCCCCAGTATTTCTGGGGCCTGGGCAAGTTTTTTAACTCCTGATGCTTCATTTTCTTCCTAAGTGCAGATAATAATAGTACAACCCACATTAAGTGGGGGAACTAGGTGAAAAAAAATGCATGTGAAACATAGTACAATGTCTGGCACAAAAAAGACCTCAACATAGCAGCTACATCATCATCATCATTTTTTAACTCAGTATACCCCAAATTTTATTGACCTTTGAAACCTGTAATATATTTTTTAATATTTTTTGAAGTAGTATTAACCTACAGTGCTCCATTAATTATGGTGCACAACATAGTGATTCTATGCATTGCAAAATGATTGCCACAGACACTATAGTTTTATTAAAACCTAAAATTGTTAAAATTAGTAGATGAGATATTTGTAAACTAGAAGTCAGAATATAGTCAAGCTATGTTTTACAGCTGATCACTTATTTTCTTTAAATTAGCTTCCTTTTTAGCTTAAATGCAATTAACTTCAGTTCAGTTCAATTCAGTCACTCAGTTGTGTCCGACTCTTTGTGACCCCATAGACTGCAGCACGCCAGGCTTCCCTGTCCATAAGCAGCTCCCGGAGTTTACTCAAATTCATGTCCACTGAGTTGGTCATGCCATCCAACGATCTCATCTTCTGTTGTCCCCCTCTCTTCCTGCCTTCAATCTTTCCCAGCATCAGGGTCTTTTTAGATGAGTCAGTTCTTCGTATCAGGTGGCCAAAGTATTGGAGTTTCAGCTTCAATATCAGTCCTTCCAATGAACACCAAGGACTGATGTCCTTTAGGATGGACTGGTTGGATCTCCTTGCAGTACAAGGGACTCTCAAGAGTCTTCTGCAACACCACAGTTCAAAAGCATCAATTCTTTGGCACTCAGCTTTCTTTATAGTCCAACTCTCACATCCACACATGACCACTGGAAAAACCATAGCCTTGACTAGACAAATCTTTGTTGGCAAAGTAATGTCTCTGCTTTTTAATATGCTGTCTAGATTGGTCATAACCTTCCTTTCAAGGAGCAAGTGTTTTTTAATTTCATGGCTGCAGTCACTATCTGCAGTGATTTTGGAGCCTAAAAAAATAAAGTCTGACACTGTTTCCACTGTTTCCCCATCTATTTGCCATGAAGTGATGGGACCAGATGCTATGATCTTAGTTTCCTGAATGCTGAGCTTTAAGCCAGCTTTTTCATTCTCCTCTTTCACTTTCATCAAGAGACTAGTTCTTCTTCGCTTTCTGCCACAAGGGTGGTGTCATCTGCATATGTGAGATTATTGATATTTCTCCTGGCAATCTTGATTCCAGCTTGTGCTTCCTCCAGCCCAGCGTTTCTCATGATGTGCTCTGCATATAAGTTAAATAAGCAGGGTGACAATATACAGCTTTGACATACTCCTTTTCCTACTTGGAACCAGTCTGTTGTTCCATGTCTAGTTCTAACTGTTGCCTCCTGACCTGCATACAGGTTTCTCAAGAGGCAGGTTAGGTGGTCTGGTATTCCCATCTCTTGGAGAATTTTCCACAGTTTGTTGTAGTCCACACAGTCAAAGGCTTTGGCATAGTCAGTAAAGCAGAAGTGGATGTTTTTCTGGAACTCTCTTGCTTTTTTGATGATCCAGTGGATGTTGGCAATTTGCTGTCTGGTTCCTCTGCCTTTTCTAAATCCAGCTTGAACATCTGGAAGTTCACGGTTCTCATACTGTTGAAGCTTGGCTTGGAGAATTTTGAGCATTACTTTATCAGTGTGTGAGATGAGTGCAATTGTGCTGTAGTTTGAGCATTCTTTGGGATTGCCTTTCTTTGGGATTGGAATGAAAACTGACCTTTTCCAGCCCTGTGGCCAGTGCTGAGTTTTCCAAATTATCTTCAAATGGGCCATAAATGCAAAAGCCTACCCTTTGTCATTAGAAGATTCACGGGAAATATAAACACTGTGAAAATGAAATGTCTTGGAATTCTGGCTGATGGGGTGCCTGAAAAAATCTCAGCTTTGATGTCAGTGTCCTGTGTGTTCAAAGATACTTGACAAGTGCTGGGTGTTAAGACTAGCCAGCTCCACACCGAGATCCTCTTTAACCAGAGGGTTGAAAGACCACAGGAATAGGTAGTGATTCCACATTATTGACTGTGGTGTCCAGTGCCGCTCAGAGTGTCTGTGATCCACGAGGGGTGTGTGTCCAGCCCTGAGCCCTGGGGGATGGGGAGATGATGGGAGGAGAGATAGGAGGAGGGGAAGTGAAGGGGGGAGCACAGATTTTAGGGAGAATGGAGAGGAGGAGAAGGGAGAAAGGAGTGGATTGGAAACCTGCCCTGCCTGGAGTAGGTCACCTCCCTGGGACTTACTGAAAGTTTACATTGGTGGCAAAGTTAACAAGGCTCCCCAGAGACTGAATCCAGGCTCCACTCCAGCCCTAAAGCTGTGCGTATGTTGCTGGCCGGAGTCCAGCTGGCAGGTGGGGCTTGTTTTGGGACCCCAGCATCACTGCCA